GCCTGCAAGCGTATGGGGTGTATCGGTACGCTTCCGGCTATGGGTGCTGTGATTCTCAGGTCTCTCATCTTTATGATTGGAGTGATCATGTCCTGTTGTTGTCACTACTCTTGCCGCTGCATGTAGTAAGTGCTAAGACTAGCTATTTGTCGAGTCGGTCTTCTGAACAGCCATCCTGAATTCACTTGCGCACTTTCCATGGTGATGTGGGATCCTAAACCGTAAACCCTAAACACTAAGAGTATAGTATGGTATATTATAGTATATTATGGTGTATCATAGTAATAGTACGTTATAGTATATTATCATGCCACGCCTTGGTTTCCCGAAGGAGACCTCGGCTCGCGGGTGTCAACGTCCAGCTCGAAAGCCTCAACTTCAGCGGTTTAGGATTGATCCCAGAGGGTCCAAGTACCCAAATAGTAAGGTTTTAGGTCCCAAAATCCATACTCTGAATGGTTTTTGGACCTTAAAACCCTACTATTTGGGTACTTGGACCCTTAGGGGATTCGGGAAAAGCCATGTGCAAGGGCAACATGCTTTGCCAATGGATTTGAGCGCAAGTTGCGGGGGGACACAGACTGAAACCTACCCCGACGATCAAGTCGGAGCCTTTTGCTAGACGAGCTTCCCAACAAAATGGGCTAGAAGATTTCCTGGATCCAACCCGGGAAAGCGAAAACCTCTGAATCCGCGCTCATTTTAGCCTGACTGAATCCGGAGCTACTCTCAAGACTACCTGACGTTCAAAAGCTTGAATGTCCTTGCTTCACCTCTACTGCTGCCGGTTCCGTGTGAAAACTGAGCAACCTGCCAGGGCTACATAAACCCTCAACCCCTGAACTCCTACACCCCCAACATCTGACTCCCAGGCTCGATGCTCACCCTCCATATCCGAGCGGAGTGCAAATCTCGGGCTTACTAACTAGAATCGGGAGGGGTACTTAAAGTAACTATACTTGTACTTACTTATAACCCCTATTAGGGTACTTATAACCTTAATTAATTGCTAACTCTCCTGATCCTCCTATACGATGATATAGGTACATTGGGGACTCTAAAGCGCATAACACCAGCCTTGCCTACCTGTGACCGCGAAAAGCTCATCTCTACAAGCGCAGTTCCCGTATGGTGCCGGAGCCCATGCATTTCGTCCCAATCCTATCCTGAACATCTGGGCCCGTCGTCCTCGCTTTTTTGAAACTACATGAACTATTGCAAATGTACTTCTTTTACTGGGCTTCTTGCGCTGCGTGCGCCGAGCCAAAAGGCTAGGCAGCGCGCAGCTGCCTCGCCAATGCAAGAGCCTGGGCATGCAGTGGGGCATTGGCTGAAGTGATGGTTTCACCATGGAATATACTTGGAGGATCAGGCGACTTAGTAAGTAAGGTTATAAGTACCCTGATTCGGGTTAAAACAACTTATAAGTATAGTTAACTTACAGTACTAGTTACTAAGGCCCGTGATCCTTCAAGTAAGGGTTCATCTTGAGCGGTTCATTTTGGTTTGGGTGGCCTTGTCGGAACGGAGCTCTCCGAGAAAATGCGGCCAAGCCTTGATGAGAGCTCCGGAACTGCTGCGGCACTCATTACGGCAATGCTGTCAATCCGAAAGCATTAGAGGTCCAGGGGACTTAGTAAGTAGGTTATACGTGGAGTTTCCGTACCTCAAATGGAGATACCCCAATGACAAGCCTACTTATACCCACTTGCTAAGTCCCCTGGGCCTCCAAGTATTTGACCGACCCACTCTATTGTTCTTTCGCGGTCATGGGGTTGCTTGCGAGTAAGATACTCATCCACCGGAGGTGTGTGGGGGCAGGATCTCGGGCCGTCATTAAACCAACGGGCCTCAACACTACTTAGAGGATCATGGGGCTTAGTCAGTAGGTTATAATTGGGGTTATAAGTCCCCTAAGTGGGGTTGTCCTTTATTACAACCTGCTTATAACCTTACTTACAAAGTCCCATGACCCTTCAAGTAGGACTCAGGCCAACTACCCGACAACCCGCAATCTACATTGTCAGGAGTCTTTTACCCCTAAAAGACTCCCAAACCCCGTAAACAAGGAAAATGCCGTAAACAAGAGTGGGAACCCCAATATGATCTAAGGCTTCAGGTATACTCCTTAACTCAGGGGTTTTGGCGTCTCGTGCGCGCACGACGTCGCATTCCGATTGTTGACGGGGTTGTTCTCTGGTTAGGAAATGACGCTGAAAACCCTGAAGCTCAGGCCCTAAACCCTTACTGCCCCGAATCTCAACGTAGGAAGCATGTTGGTAACACAACTGGATTGGGGCTTGCCATCCTCTCTGGCACCATCCTGAAATGTTCGTATCAGCCTGAATGCGCTGATTTACGGTCTGAGCTTGGTGTAGACAAGATAATGTTGCTTGGGCCAAAGACGAATGAAAGTTGGTCAGGTCTGTAACTGATCACGGCAATCTGTGTCTGGACATTTCACTTACGTATGAGAGTGTATTGGAAACAACACAGATCAGAAACCATCAGTCCCCTCGCAATGAGTTGCGTAAGGCTCGTACAGCAGGAGCGAGGCATTGTGGAAAGTGATTCTGGATTTGAGCACAGGTGGCAACGGTGTCATCCGATCAATCATAGTTAATGTTCACGGCTAAGGTTTAAAGTTAGTTTTGGGCTTAGGACTACATACAATAGAAGCCAGAAAGAGGGAAAAAACATTATCGTAACCCCTTTAAGGGTAAATTATAGGGGATCCTACCATTAATCCATATTCCAACTTTCTGGAGTTCCCTTTAAGGCTTTGAGGGCTTGGGCCTCATGGTCGAGGGTTTAGGGACTACCAGCACCAAATACCCCCCGGCGCTCGGGCCAAGACTTTCTATCTGAATTCCCAACACAGCCTTGCTAGGAGCCCTCATTCCCACTGGCTACAGGGCAGACGTAAGACCTCGTATAAGACACAACACGTACCTAACCCTGAAAGCATAAATCAACCCGGAAGCCATGTAAGCTCCAACTCTAACGCCCTCGCCAAGAAGGGATAGGGAACCGCGATAGTCATTTTGTCCCAGCATGCACTTTTGGTATAGTCGTACATCCCAAAACCCCACAGGCCCCCCAAGCTATAATGAGACATGGCCGCCCCAAGAAGACCAAGAATCAGAAGAGCCGGGAAACCCTAATCAGAAAGTATCGGGGCCTTAATAACTAGAACGGGGTTTTGAGCCCCTGTATAGAATAAATATAACACCCCCTAAGGAATAATGTTGGCAATTATATAGGCTTCTATTCTATGTTACTCATTTGAACCATCGGCCGGAAGTTTCCAGCGCCCAAAAAAGTCTCGCTGTGCAAAGAGTTCGGCACTGCGCTGCTTTTGCTTCCTTCTGGCCCCGCTGAACGTTGGATTCCAGGTTGTTTCAGGCCTCTGCTATAGATTTAGGGTGTCAAACGTAAGGCCTACTGTTGATGATATGAATCCTGCATTACCTTAGGGAGCTTAGACTATGGGAATTTTGTTATAGCCCCTATTTTGGGCAATACAGGATTTATATCATCAAGCCCAAGTTTTGAGGAGTATGCTCAAAGCCCTTGTTTACGTGCCAACGGGTTCGTCAGGTGCTGGAATTCACGGCTCAGGGTTCTATGTTCTAAGGTCTAGGGGAGGCTTGCGATTTAGGGCTCTGAGATGTAAGCTGTCAGCATGTGCAGCACTAGTAAGGGAGAACCTTGCAGTAGATCCAGCTCATGCACCCACTCGATCCCTGACATTGAATGAAAATCTTGTAACGACCCTTCAAGTTTAACCTCATAAGAAAGCGATGAGCGCTGCCTAGTACTTGCTTAACAGCTGCCTAGCAGGAGATTTGCGATGGGTGCGCCAAGCTCACAACCTGCTCCGCATTAGGCTTCGGGATGTGAGGTGTAGAATGTATGCAGAGCTCAGGGCGGTTTCCTGTAGGCCCTAAGCCCCAAACCCCCGAAGCCTAAACCCTAAACCCCCTAACCCTAAACCCCCAACCCTAAACCCCTTAAACCCATAAACCCCCGAATTGGCAGGGTATAGGGTTTCGGGTTCAGAGCTTTGGGATTCGTGGTTGGATGCCTGAAACACTCCCACTGAGAGATAGTCACTACAGGGGCCTTAATAATTAGAAAAGAGGGGTTCCTTTAAAGGGCTCTTAGACGGTAATAAGGGCTACTACTAAGGTTGTGTAAAGGGGCCTGAATAATTAGAACAGGGTTCTGGGGCCCATTAAAGGAACCCCCAAAACAGTATTGGTGATTGTTTAGGCCCCTATAGTACAGCCTCCTACCCCAGAGGCCTGCCTGTATAAACAGGTGTTGCAGGCTCTCGGTTCAAGCAGCATCCTGCACAATCAGAGCCGCGATAATGTGCACCTACGGGTGAGCCGTCCGCTATCATGGAACCTGTTCCCCCCACTGAGGGCAGCGGCGGAGGCAGCAACGGCGATTTCCATTATAAAATGCTAGAAGATGTAAAACCGCGGTACAAAAAAATCGGCTTGCAACAACACCTACCGCACACGTTCTTTGCAGCTCATCAATGTTAGTTGCCTGCTATCCTAGGGACCTGAGGGCTACTGCTTATGCTTGGACTTGGTCTGTAATAACCAAAAACGGTTGACGGTTACCTACATATACTCTACTACGAATACTAAGCAATTGCTGCGCCGGTACACCCCACATGTTCCAGCACTCATTAATTGACCGTTAACAAAGGGGCAGTCCCTCAAATTTGCTCGAGTTGTCGCTCGAGGTTGGCGCATACCCTTTTTCAAGGTCTCAGTCAATCTGAACGCGTCCCTGTACGCACTGCTGTGTCGCACAAACCACGGGGCCGAAGCCACACGAACCTCTATCCTGCAGCGAATGTCACCCCATATCAAATTTTACGAACCTACAAGCTGCGGTGTTCCAGGTTCTTCACAGTCTACGCCCTAAACCCAAAACCCTAAAGTGGCTAAACCCAAAACCCTAAAGTCCAGAAAGCTCATTCACATGATGCAGCAGTCACCTACGTTGGCTTCCTCGTGCTTGTCACCTGGAATGCTTTCGGTGTCGGTCTCAGTCTCACCTTTGCCGCACTTGAAGCGTCGCCTGAATGGGGAGTGGGGGGCCCAAAGGGCTCCCTAGTACCTATAATTTTGGGGGACACTTGCTCAAACCATAATGTTAATTCCTGTTGTAGAAATAGATTGCCAGCTTTCTGATTCTACGTATGGGTACTCAGGACCCGTGGGGGAATGCATTTGGGATCATGGGTTCGGGGCTTAAGGCTGGCTGCAGCGGAAAGCCTATATATATATATATATATATATAAATACATATTTAGTTTCTATGACGCACTAGACTAGGAGCCTCGATCGAAATTCAGGACACTTGATCGGTGCCGTTCTACCTGCAGCCGCTTACTTTCCGTCTGCTTTCTGGCAGACTTACGAACACGAGATTAACCACGGTTCGGGGTTTAGGGCTTCTAGGTTTAAGGGTGCAGGGTTGAGGGCTTAGGGTATTTGGCTCACCCCGTAAGGCACCTGGCTGTGGCTATCGGCCAGCCATTTCTGTCCCCGAACTTGCCGAGGCCGACTGACCGCACGAGGAGACCAAAAACTTTCCGATTGCCTCGGCTCATATGGGTGGTTGTCAAAATGATGGTCCCTGTTGGGGTGCCTAATATAGTACGGCACCTAATATTTAGGGTACCCAAAAAGGGGACCTTTACTTTGACAACTACCCATATCGATTTTGGAGTGGGAGGTTTAGGTTCGGGGGTTTGGGGTCCTGGATTTCAGGTTGGCTCATAGAGCCTAAGAGTTGTGTTTGTGCCAGGCTCAGTAGGCGGTCGGCCTTTCTGCAAATCACATTCCGTGGGTTTGCTACTGCGCTGGGCATGTTATCCTGCATCAAGGGGCTGGTTGCTTTTCGGGAAGTTAGGGTCAAGACCTCGAGGTTGATGCATGACTTCAAGTTGGCAAGTTGGGTGAGATGTATCTGGACTGCTGACGTACTTCGTTATGACAAGGAAGCTCAAGTGTATGCGATATTAGACGCTGCACTTTGAAATCACAATTGCCGTGCGAGGGACGCGACGGGAAGAGGACTTGCTGAGCCTCCCCCCAAGAGATAAGTGTAGTGGCTACCACAGCTAATTGCCTGCTGCTTTGAAGAGTTTCGAGGTGGGGTGTACGTGACGCATAAAACCGAAACTCTACAGGCGTCTGTAGTACCCATTCAGTTGATTGAACCGAAGTTCGCATAGAAAGATCGGCACAGTTAGAGGGGACAAGGGTGCACGGCTCGGTCCTATAATGCAGGGTTAAGCTACTTGGGTTTGTAAGCGTTGTCATTTCATTGTTTCCGCATTCCTTTCCGTTGCCACTTCATAGACTGTCACTTTGTTCTTATTTAGACTTACAAAGAGCTATTCAGATACCCCGAAGAGCGTGTGCCAAATCCTGAACATACCTGGCAATAGGGTCCTGATTCACGACAAGGCCTCAGACAAGGCACCGGGCTCTTCCTTTGAGGCTCGGATAATGGGATGCGGGGCTAGCGCTGAAAGATTGATTGCACTTTTGATAACATCGCGTCCAGTATGCGATGTGCTACACTAGGATAAAGCATTAACCGATGGCTCTTAAAATCCGAGCCAAGAAAAGATCAACCCCAACCCTGAATCACAAACTCCCGAAACCCTCTCGGCAGCAACTGGATCATTCCCCAGACCATCAATTGTGGATCCTAACGGTCTCTGCAATGCCCCGGCGCTCAGCACACCCTCAGCGCCGAAGAGGTGGGCGCCCAAACTTGCGAGCGTGGCGTTCGTGGCAAGCGACGTCTTGACTTGGTTCTTCCTCCTCGGTGGTATTACGTGAAGGCCTGTGTTTTCGGGGTATTTTGGCATCAAGTTTAAGAGTTTATAGGTTGTACCCGTGTCCGAAAAGACCTGAATGTCTAGAGCTCCTTATTCTGGTTTCTATGTATAGCTGCCCCAGAAGAGTAGGTCTTATGAGCCATAGCTAGGTCTTACGTGCTCAAGCTTTTTTGTGACATATTGGGCTCATGGAGCGCCTGGAGGGTCTGGACAGCTTCCAGGCTAAAGGGTTTTGGACTGGCTCTGGTTCGAGGGTCCGGAGTGCGCAAGTCTATCGAATTTAGGGCTTATAGGGTTTAGGGTTGAGTTTGAATCTCAATCCGAAGTCCTTCCCAGAAGTTGCGCCACGGAGTCATATGTGTCGGTCTTATACGCCCTGCCTGCTGCTAGAGCAACTCTATTAAGTTTGTAGGAGTTCCAGTTCGACTCTCTGAAAACCCGAATCAACACTCCATCCACCTTCGCGCTCATCGGGCAAGAGGCAACCTTTAATCAGGACCCAAACTAGACCCAAAACCGCAAGCGCCAAGAAGAGCTAAGCGAAGTAGTGCTTGAAGCTGCAGTTTCACGGCTGCTACTGCCGCCGTCACCACGACCCGATGACGAAGACAAATGCAACTACTACGTCCACTACTTCGAGCACTACTAGCACTACCTCTGCTTCTACCCTTAGTTCCAATTTAACCCAGCCGCCGATACTCGTTGAAGTCCAAGTCGAAGATCTTTTCGCCCTCCTGTCCAGTCGGTTTCACCGTAGAAACGATTGAGCTTCTTTGTACTTTTTAGGTCTTCGCCGAGCTTGTTAAGATCCTCGCAAGACGGGATGCGCTGGACGGCATGGCCTACTTGGAGGATCAAGGGACTATGGGACTTAGTAAGTAGGGTTACAAGTGCCATAGTCCCATGATCCGTTAAGTAGTGCTCCGGGCTGAGCTTCTGTCTTTGGTTGCATGGAGTTTGGGGAGTTGGAAAAAGGCACCTTTGCGAAAGAGACGATGTTTTGGTCCGGGAGTTAGGGCTGTTTCGTGATGTAGGACGCCCCTGGTTCAGTGCAGAGGCACAGGCGACGGCTCAGATTTGGGTGTTTGCGTAGCCCCCTATATTATTAGCCCTTGGTAAAACATGAGCCCATAGGACCCCGATTGAACACGCAAAATACATCAGACCCCATAAAACCCTGTTTGAACAGTACATCAATGGAAGAGACTATGTAAGACAAACCTTAACCCTGAAGAACCTACCTTTTTAGGGTTCCTTATTATGACTTCCTTATATAAGTTCCCAGAAAGGTAGGTTCTTCAGGGTTAAGGAATCAATCAGGCCAGAAAAAAGGGTCTCGAAGCACTCCCCAGAACGAACAATATTTTCATATAGCTTCATTGGTTATGTTTGGGGCTTGGTGTTCACGCCTTAGAGCTTCTGATTTTTGGGGGTTTAGAGCTTTCCGTTCGTGGTTTCAGGGAATGGTTTAAAAGGTTGAGTTCTAAACCCCTCACAACCCCAACCCCAAACCCTGTAGACCCTATAAAACCCTCTTCCCACACTGACGGCCGTGCGCCTGCCGTCCCTGCTTCTTGCGAGCTGCGGGCGCTACATCGGGCCCACCGCGAACGACGTAGAGGTGGGAATCGCCTATAGAGCATCCAGCGATTCCCCAAACCTCTCATTAACGTAGGAACCCGAGTAAGAAGCCTTGGGCCACTATTAGGGGGTCCTTATATAAATCCTACTATTTTGGGGGGTTATAGGCCCAGGTTTTAATCAGGTTCCTACATTGACTGAGAAACCAATAGCAATCCTACAGGGTAACAACGAAAAATCTCAGACTCGGGCATTTTGGAGTCTCTTAAGTAGACAGGAACATGGGACTCAGGTAGTAAGGTGATAAATGCCGTCATCAAAGTTTGAGGACTTTCCAATTGAACATGTATGCATATATAACCCGAGGTACGAAGTCCCACGATCCTTCAAGGTTAAAGGCCTGTTCTAGCTAATGAGATGTGGCATTGTAGAGATGTACATTCTCGAGCTTTTTGGCTATAGCACGGTTATAGCTGAGTCGACAGGTTTCTTGAGGGGCAGGATTCGGACAACTTGTAAGCTTGTGCTGACCCAGTGGCGCTCTGTAAAGCTCATGCGCACTCGGTGGTGGTTGTGGTACAGCAGATCCAAGAAGTTACCAGATGCATTGGGTGCATAGATGCGTGCATGGGCGTCTACGGTCCTCGGATCGTCATCGTCCATGTTGAGGTGGTAGGAGAGTAAAAAGACACCATTGGCAATCGCTGACGCATCTAGCTTTTGTGCACTGGACTTGATGGTGGCTTCCACTGAAGATTGGATTCCTGCCAACACTTCTTGAGCAAATTCTCTTTCCTCCCCATCACGATACGACTCGAAGTCAAAGCCGTCGATTTCGGGCTGCTCACCCAAGCACTCGGGCCACGAACCAGCAACCTCGTCCTGTGCCTCGTCCGAGGAGTCCTCGTCTGCAGTGACGGATGCCTGTCGTTTCATTTCCAGGAGCACGCGCTCCTCAAAGTATGTCTTCCAATGTGCCTCGGAGGCAGTACCGACGATGCCCTTGAGCTGGAAGCGGTCCACGGCTCGTTTCAGCCAAGTCCCTTCAGCCGCAGCAACCTCTTCTTGCAATTGAGCCTCGAAGGGTCGAGTAATTACCCTAACCCTGTTAAATTCTGACTCTGGTAGGCTTAAAAGGGCGAAAGTGCGACGTGAGATAGGCTGGGGCCCTAATGGAATAGGGTTTGGGTCCAGAAACAAAAAAGGGTGAAAGCGCGACGTGAGATAAGCTGGGGCCTTAATAATTAGAATAGGGTTTTGGGGTCCAGCATACCACACTTATAATAAGGAATCCTTAAAAGAGTAATGCCCAAAGGGTCCTATGTACTGAAACGGGGGATGCTTCCCCCAATCATAACATGAAAAAATCCTAGTATAGAAACCTTACATTCTGCTATATATATATATATATACATATATATATATATATATATATATATATATAGGTACTTTGAGATCCTTTGGGATTGGTGATTTTTTAAGCTCCTATACTAAACCCTTCAAGTAGCCCTTATAAACCAGCTTAAAACGAACCCTGCGGAGGAACCCCATTCTAATCATTAAGGCCCCTATAATAAACCCTAAACCCTAAACCCTAAACCTAGGGTTTAGGGTTTAGGGTTTAGTATACTATAGTACCCAGGAGCTGGTGCCATGCGAGGCTTCTTCTCGGCGGATGCGGCATCGGAGGTCTTGCGCTTGCGTGAGGGCGCCGCCACAGGCCTACAGGGTTCTTGTTGGGGCAGCTGAAGTAGTAACCATAACCCTAAACCGTACTAAACTTCATTAACTTGAATTACATCGGGACCTGTAGTAATAGTATGATTTCCTTGCTAAATGAATTTCCGAAAATAGGGGACCCTAATATAGTACCCTAAATGGTAGGATCCCTATTATAAGCAACCCAAAATAAGGTACCCCTAATTTCGGAAACTCCCAAATACCCAACAGGAGCCCAGCAGAAGCCTGGGAGGTGGAAGCCCTCGGAAGAGAGCGTCCATGCGAGGGGAGCACTGGGACACCAGCCTTCGCACCTCCGGGAAGCTTACCTGGATGTCGATTTCAACAGCCCCTAAACCCTAAACCCTAAATCCTAAAACCCTAAATCCTAAGCCCTAAACCTGGAATCCTCTAGTAGAAGCCTAAAAGTTGGAAACCCAATAGCATCAATCCTTAAGAGCAATGTATAGGGAATTCCAGCACTATGTGGCCTCAATCCAGTTTCCAACTTCATGGGGCTTCCCCTAAACCCCAAACCGCAATAAGAGTATAATCGGCTTAGGGTTTAGGGCCTCTCACGAGAGATGTGGACTTGGGTTCTTGACCATAAAGCTGCCAACGTGAATGAATCATCGGAGCGTCCATGGGTTTAGGGTTCTATATTCAACTACATTAAACAGCATGGAGAATCAAGACTTATCCCAAGTCGGTGCTGAGTTGCCGTCTCCGTACTCTTTCCCCTCATACGGAGGAACGACTCCTGGCCGGCGGTGCCCGTGGTAAACTTGAGGCTTTTGGCACCTCCCGTGATGTCCTTAGCGACCTCCATGTTCACAATGGCCATCTCACCTTCGGGCTTCACATAGCACGTCGGAGCCTTGCTCAAGACCAGGGTGACTTCATTCCCCACAACATCGATGCGATCGATGTCCTGGAACTTCACCTGGATGGAATGCTTGGCTGCCAGCTCCCCAGCCCTCACCACATCAAAGATGCTCAGTTCCTGCTTCGGCTTTACCTCGTCCCGCTCGCCAAAGAAGTCGCAGGGTCCAAACCTCTCGTCCTCTGGTCGGTTAGGAGTGAACCCTAAAGCCTAAACTCAGACCACACCCTAAACCTCTGAGCTTTGCACCCAAACCCCGAATTGAACCGCAACGCTGAAACCCTGAACCCAAACCCTAAACCCTGAACTGAAACAGGGCTGCTGGTAGGTCCTCCATGGCTTTCGCTTTGTCCAGCAGCTTGCGCACAGCCGCCGGAGTGCGGTTGACTTCTTGAACCTGGCTCGGCCACATGCTCTCGGTGTTTGGGGCAGAGGGTTGCTTAGAGTGGAAGCCAGAAAGTTGGGACATCATTATCCTCATGTCCTTAACATAAAGTGTTAGGGATCCTAGCACTAATCCTCCCAAATCCTTGTTCCAACTTTCTGGCTTCTACTATAAGTGCTAAGGTTTTGGAGTTTGATTCATTGAGATGAAGGGATTGGAGGGTTTTGGCCAGTCTGATGACTGGGTTCCTCTGCGTAACATTCTGTTCGGGGGGCAATCGGGGCCCCCTTAAAGTATTCATGGTTGTGGGGATTCCAAAAACCGCCCGACAATTCGCAGGGGATACAAGGAATTTACGGACAAGTTCTCCAAACAAATGCTTGTACAACCCATAAGCATGACCCCAACTATACCAATTAAATAAGGTTCGAAGGGGCCTTCATACATTATATATATATATATACACACACATACATGTTATGCATATATGTATCAAAATATGCTTGCTTTAAGGTATATTCCTTTCTTAAGGTATTGGGCTCTCTGGGCTAAGATGCTGCGAACCCGCTTTCTGTGCCTCGAAAGCGAAACGCTGCCGGCCGAAGAGCGCCTTTCCCACCAGCATCGTTTCCTGGAGCCGCTTGCTTGAGGTACCGGGTTCTGAATGCGGCGCAACCACCCCAGAGCCCCAGACCTCCAAAACCAACACTGTAAAAACCCTATAACCCTAGATTCCTAAAGCCCTAAACCCAACATAGAAGGCCCTCACAGTGAGCCTGCTTTTGTCAAGCTTCTAGGAGCCCTCGAAACGAACCCCCAAAAACCCAAAGCCCCCGACCCTGAACCCTAAACCCCCAAACTCCAACAATCCTAGAGCCCTCCATTCTAACATAGGAGGCCCTTGCAGTAAGCCTTGTTGTGTGAAGCTTTTGAAATCCTTTCATGGAGCCCCAAACTCCAATCCTTCTTTGGCAACGGCTTGGAACTCCCAAGGATGCAGGGGAAAGCCGCAAGCCCGCCAGCGCCACCCAATTGCCAGGACTTACGGCCGGCCTTCCCCGATGTATTTTTTGCATTTTGGGCTTAGCTTGTTCGTTTTTTGCCGTTTAGGCTTTGCTTGAGGTTTCGGGGTCAGGGCTTAGTGTAGGCGAGTTTAAATGGTTCGGGTTTATAGGGGTCGGGCTGCCGCTGTTTAGGACCTATCTTACATGATCAACAGCTCCCAACAGATTTTTGTCGTTTACATCCGGGTTCGCTTTGTTGAACCAATAGTGTAAACTACCAAATATCTGAAATCGGTACCTAGCATGGGGGTTTCCACCTGACCATACTACCGTTTGTTGCCCCCGGGGGACCCCAGCGCCGTAAGAAACCCCAACAACCGACACCTAAACCTGGAAAACTCTTAAGCTGTCAAATCCTAGACCTCAGAGTAACCTAGGAATAAAAAGGGTGCCCTTTTTGGTTTAAAGGGGGTTATAAGGGAACCTAAACCCTAAAAAAGGGAATAAGGGCCTACTCCGGGTCCTAGAATCTGAACCTCTAAGTCAGGCTCCTCAACTCCCAGCTTTCGGAATCGTTGAGCTCGGAACCCCTGCGCATATGATTCCCCCGAGGCCTTAACCGAACCCACATCCTCCGAAATGCTTCTTCAATGATATGTCAAGATCTGACGTGCGCAAAATGACTTACGAAAGTACAGGAACTCTCCTTCATGAACAGCCCAAAAGCTCAAAACAATGCCAAACCCTCATTCCTAAGACAAACATGCTAAACCTTGTTGTAAGATCTTGAATCCTAAACCTATACACTACACCACTTGGAGGATCAGGAGACTTAGTAAGTACGGTCATAAGTACCGTAATAAAACTATAAATATTTTAGAAGTATAGTTACCTTTTTCGTAGCCCTATAGTTACCAAGTCCCATGATCCTCCAAGCATGATGTCTCCGGGACATGCGACAGGACAACTGGTGGCCTGTAGGTTGGCCACCTGCAGACATGGCGACCAAACCAGGGAGGGACGGTTTGGGGTTGAGGGTTTAGGCCGTTTAGCTTTTTTCGGGTTTGGGGTTTAGGGCGGTTTAGTTTACGGTTTGGGGTTTTGGTTGTTGGGTGTTGTAGGCTTTATTTAGGGATTAGGGCCTGGCAAGTCGGGCTAGGATTCGGTCGGTCTGCTTGCCGCAAGCAGCTTGCCAGTAACCCAAAACTGTAAACCTCAGATCCTAAATCTCATCACCTAAACCCCCAAAAGTAGGTAAAATAATGGCCCAAAACCTACAAGGGGCCATTATTCTACATATTTTCGGGGTCCAGGCAAAGATTTGATCCAGGCATGTCCGTCCGCCCACCTCAAATTCTACAGGCTTCGGCGCGCGTGGCTTCCGCTCCTCAGCATCTTCTTCGTCCTTCGGCTGAAACCCCAAAAGGTTAAAAGGTTAAAGGTTACTTACTCAGCTACTTAGATGTCAAATCCTGCATAAATATGGCATGTTGGACATGCCTCGACATGTTCCAACTGGACGGGTGCTGTCGTATTCAACAAGGATGGATGCCGGTTTTGGCTGCTGAGACACCTTCTGCAGTACAGCAGCCCTGAACCCTGACATAAACCCCAAAACTCTAAACCTTTAAACCCTAAACCCCTAAACTCTAAACTCCTAAACCCCTAAACCCTGAACCCTAAACCCTAAATCGTCATCGCTCAAGGACCATCTCGGGCTTACAGCCCGGGAAGGCCCGGGGTCTTTGGTATTTACTGAACAGGAGGTCCCATCCACTGCAACTGATGTGACAAGCATCGTGGCATGCATGATCTACGGTCTAAGACTGCCAGGAGATGGGGGGTATAGGGCTTTGTGGAGAACAGATTAAATCATCTAGGGGTAAAGAGTTGCTTAACGGTCTTACACAGTGACAGTCGCTCTTCCAGAAGCAACTTCGCCATGTCAATATGAAGAAATAAATCACGACACAGACAGGAATGACGCCTGGTCTTGCCGACCACCAAGTCCTAGTAGGGTGCATGGGGACATGCATGAAAGCAAAAATCATTACATTACATGTTACTAGATGAATCAACACCTACAAATACATGAAGAAAACACCAAACATAGACAGACAACACTAACAGCTGTACTGGACGTCTCTGACATGCAGGGTGCACGAAGCTGCTCGGGACTGGCGCATTGCTTTGCGTTTAGAATTTGTCAGAGACCTAACCTGACTTACTCTTGAATGGCGACATCGATGTAACACACAACTGATGTCTTCACTTTCAAGCTCAAACCCTAAACCCTAAACCCTAAACCCTATAAACCCTAAACCCTAAACCCTAAACCCCTAAACCCTAAACCCTAAACCCTAAACCCTAACGGAAGCCTCGAGTCCTAAGCCATGACTCCCGCTCCAAGAGCCAAGTGCTCGCGGTTGGGCTCCCCTGAGCTACCAACCCTAAACTCTAAATTTCTAAGAACAGAGCAAAGTATTGAGGGCTCTGCGCTGTGATTTTGTTATCTTACTGTGCATTTGTTGCAGTCACTTCTTCATGTATTTTATGTGTTTCCTGTGCATCTACATTGCTTCCGCCGTTGTTGGTAATAGCCTTGTTTACACGAATCTTTGGATCTAGTATAAAATGCCAAACTACTGTGGAAGCCTGCATGGTGTGGCCAGGTCTTCTCTGATTGGATCTGAACAACGAGGTATAGCTAAAGGTCAAGCTGTTACGATGTAATCAAAACCCTAAACCCTTAACCCCGTAACCCGTAAACCCTTGAAACCCTAGACCATACACCCTTAAACCATAAACCCTAAACCCTTAGACCCTTAAACCCCTAAACCTTGGGGAACCAATACATACAGAAGAAACCTGAACCTGTCCTGGACCTCTTCGAAAAATCCAGACCTTTCGTCAACCCTAAACCCTCAAGCCCCAAACAAACTCCAAGGAAGACACTGGTAGTGGGGAGGTCCTCATCCCAGGGACACCAACCGCTCATGTCGAATAAGCTGTGTCCAGTTGGCGTGCTTTGGGCCACAACGCTGCAGAAGAGTGATGCTGTTTGAGTGTCAAGGGCGGGTGTTCAAACAGGATACCGTCCGAGTTTTGATATTCAGCATTCCAAACAACAGCAATGTAATTTGTAGGGGGCGAATTCCCTGATAAGACATATCCCGGAACCCTAAACCTTAAACTCTAACCCATATCATGGCTATCTTACACCCTTCCGGCACATACAGCCGAAGCTTGCCAAAGAGCCGGCCATTTTAAGGGGTCCTTTAGGAACTCCTTTCAGTGCGCCTTCGCTCCTTTAAGCAGCCCTAAACCCTAAATCCTTAAACCCTAGTGTGGCTCCGTGAAGGTTTCCTTTAAGTTTTTAGGGTTTAGGGTTTTAGGGCAGGGTTTAAGGTCGCCTTTAATGGCGACCATAATTGGTCCAATTTCGTGAGCTGCCGATGATTCGACTGCACTTCTCACGCCTTGACCCTCCATCTACCCTTCGTTCGTCAGGCCCTAAATACCTACCATTACTTAGAGGATCATGGGACTTAGTAAGTAGGTTATAATTGGGG